TCTGCCTGCTCTTATTTTCTTTTCAGAGTCCTCATATGGTTGCTTTGTGCACTTTATCCAGGGTTTTCAGTTTTAACCAATAGGAGAGATAGGTTCTGTAGTGGGCTTACTCCATGTTGGGTAGAATGGGACACCACCTTATTCTTTTTTGAATGTTGCATTATAGTGTTATTGTTGTTGTTGTTATGTGCTGTGGAGTCAGACCCAACTCATAGCGACCCCTCGTTGGGTTTCTGAGGCAATATCACTACGGCAGTAGATTGCCCAATCTTCCTTCCGAGGAGTGGCTGGTGGGCTTGAACCACCAGCCTTCTGGTTAGCAATCAAGTGCCTTAGGCACTACGCTACCAGAGCTCCCTGCATTATAGTAGATATACATAATTCATTTATGCCTTTGTCATTGTTGTTTGGCAAATAGGTTTTAAGCAGTATTTACTTTTACAAAATAATACTGTAGTGAATATGGGTGTACACTATCTGTGCATGTTTGTGTAAATGTATTTATCCAAAAGTTTCTCAGAAATAGAATGCTGGGTCAAACAGCAACTACATTTAAAATCTCAATAGGGTTTTCCAATTAGCTCTTAAAAACTATGCGTTATGATTTGTGATATATATTCACTCACTGCCATCAAGGTGACCCCAACTCATAGTGACCCCTCCTTAGGTTTCTGAGGCATTATCACTATGGAAGTAGATTGCCCAAACTTCCTTCCAAGGAGTGGCTGGTGGGTTTGAACCGCCAGGCTTCTGATTAGCAGTCAAATGCATTAGGCACTATGCCACCAAAGCTTCCTTGTGATATATAGATATATTTTAAATCTTTGCTAATCTGTTACATCAAATATAGTCATTTAAATTAAGTAGTATAGTCATTTTAACTAAGTAGGATGGTGACCAACTTTTCATATATTTGCTGGCCATTTATTTTCTCCTGTGAATTGCTTGTTCATTTGTTTTGCTTTTTTCTTCTGTTGGTTTGTTGGTCTTATGATTTTATGATCACCTTGGATATTAAAGAAAAGAACTCTTTGCCTGTGATAAAAACTCACTGACGTCGAGTCGGACCTCACTCTTAGTGACCTCTCCTTGGGTTTCTGAGGCAGTATCACTACGGAAGTAGATTGCTCAACCTTCCTTCCAAGGAGTGGCTGGTGGGTTTGAACTGCCAGGCATCTGGTTAGCAGTCAAATGCCTTAGGCACTAAGCCATCAGGTATTGGAAATATTTTCCCTAATGTTGACTGTCCTTCATGAAACAAGATGCTTTAAAGTGGAAGTAGTGTGAAATTTGCAGTTAGAGATTTGGTTTGAGTTTAATTATTATCACTTATCCTCAGCTGTGTGATTATGGAAGCGTGATTTAAAGTGATAGTTTTGGCCAAAATCTGAAGGCAATAGGTATTAGACATCAAAATGAGTTGTGGCGTAGGACATAGGATATTAACTTTCCAAAAAATGTCTTTCTTGACTCTTAAACTTCTCACCCATTTGAAGTATGTAAGCGAGTCAGGTTGGTGGAGACTGAGGAGTATTTTTAACAAAGATTCTATGGAGAGAACTGTAGTACGAGTCTCACTTATCCTTTCTAAGAATAAGGAAAGGGGTTGTATATCTTTTTGTCCTTGACTTGTAGAAGTTATTGATATATTCTAGATATTAAATCCTTATCAGATATATGGTTCCCAAATGTTTTCTTTCTTCACTTTGTTGATAAATTACTTTGATGAACAAGTTTTTCTCATTGTGGTTTTAATTTGCCTTTCCCAAATGAGTAATGACGTTGAGCATCTTTTCATGTGCTTGTTAGTCATTTGTGTATCTTCTTTAGTTAAATATCAACTCAAATAATCTGTCCATTCTTAAATTGAGTTGTTGTCTTATTTCTGAGTTGTAAGTGTTCTTTATGTATTCTGGATTAAAATAATTTATCACACAAATGATTTCAAATATTTTCTCAAATGTGTGGTATGTTTTTCACTTTGTGCTTTTCAAGTGCAAAACACTGAATTTTAACAAAATTCAATTTATTAATTTTATTCTTTTCTGGATTGTGTTCCTAGTGTCATATCCGAGAAATCTTTGCCTAACTCAAAATCTCAACCATTGCTTTTGAAATAATTATGTGACAAAAACCTGGACTTAGATTTCTGATTTTTTGAAACATATTTGTTCCAAAGTAGTCAGGGACATTTAAGCAGTAAGGGAAAGAGCTAATGAGGATGCCTTACGTAAAGTGATAAAATTAGTACTGTTATCATTACTCATTTCAGTGCTACATTTTATTAAAGGTTCTGTAGTTAGGTGAAATGTAGGGTTTCTTCATTTTTTCTTAGTTATCTGCACTGACTTGTAAGACTTCTCATGCTATTCATGTTTACTGACTCCTCAACCTGAGCATATGAGTACTTTTTAAAAAGAAACTAAAGTTATGATTTAAGGTAACTCAGCTCTCACTGTCATCCAGTTGGATCCAACTCATAGCAACCCCTCCTTGAGTTACCGCGGCGGTACCACTATGGAAGTAGATTGCCCAACCTTCCTTCTGAAGAGTGGCTGGTAGGTTTGAACCACCAGCCTTGAACCACCAGCATTCTGGTTAGCAGTAAAGTGCCTTAGGCACTACGCCACCAGAGCATCAAAAATATCAAGTACAAATAGTTATACTAACCCATGCTAAGGAACTCACACACATTTTCGTGAAAATTTATCAGATTTTTACCTAACCAGTATGTTCTAAGGAAAATGTAGTGCATACATATGAAGGTACTGTTTGGCCAGGTCTGTGTCTCTAGTGAAAAGGTTAACACATTTAAAAAAGCATTTAAAAAGTTGTTCTCCATGTATGTAGCCACGTTGTTGTTGAGCAGCCCACCATGCCCTGGGACTTTTTCTGGACTTGAATTAGTGGCCTGCCATGTTGTTTGGAACTGTGCCTTTTTACTTGTCAACTTTGGGTTTGTCAGCTTCAGCTGCCTGAGCGAAGAGACGCCTCCAGCTCCAGTGGGCTGGGAGTAAGAGGCAGAGCTGAAGCCCAAGGTCTTAACCCAGCTCCTAGAGCTGGCACTTTGAACTCGGACTTCTAGCCTCCTAAGAGGCTTCTAAGAGAATAAAGAATTGTTTGTTAAAGTCAAAAAAAGAAAAAAAAAAGTTGTTCTCAAAACATTTTGTCTTTACATTTAGTGGGAATCAAGTAATCAAGTGTGAGTCCAGTTCCCAAAATGGAAGCTACAGCTTACTGAGCTTGGCTGTTTGACAAGAGTGTGCTTTACACTTGGGGCTTGAAGATCGGGATGGAATTATTCAGTAGGAAGACTCTCTGGGGCTGATTCTGTGATATCTCCTGGGCAGGAGGAGTGTCTCTTAACCATTGACAGGTTACCACTACCTGCATTTAGTTTCATGGGCTTGTGTAAAAAAGACTAATCAATAGTAGTGGGCCTGGGGACCTTTATCCCTTTCCATTTGTCACCAGGTAGTGCATGAATTCCAGGAACTCTGGTGGCACTGTGCTTAAAGCTTTGGGCTGCTAAGGAAAAAGATGGGACAGTCTGCTTCAACAAAGATTTAGAGCTTTGGAAACCCTACGGGGCAGTTCCTCTCTGTCCTATAGGGTTGCTGTGAGTCAGAATCCACTCAGCAGAAGTGCTTAATGTGTTAATGAGGCTGCTGGATGGCACAAATGGTTAAGGCTTGACTAGAAACTGAAAGGTTGGCTGTCTGAACCCACCAAGAGGCACCCTGGAAGACAGGCCTGGTGGTCTACTTCCAAAAAATCAGGCTTTGAAAACCCTAGCAGTTCTCCTGTGACATACATGGCGTCTTCATGAGTAGGAATGAACTCACAGAAACTGGTTTAACATATCAATGCTGATTTCTTGATTTGGATAATTATACAAGGAGAAGATCCTTGTATGAAGGAAATACACAATAAAGTATTTAGGGTGGCAGCTCATCAGATCAGTGACTTATTCTCCAATGGCTCAGGAAAAAAAGTTTTGTAGTTGTAACTTTTCTAAGTTTGTGATTGCCCCCTACTCCATTAAAAAAAAAAAGGCAAAAAAAGTTTTGTGAGGTTCAATAGGTGTGCCTGTAACTCACACTGGAAGGAGATCATGAAGGAGTTTTAACTTGGAGTGCTCATGTCCACTCTGGGCCCTGCTGGGATATTTTGAATATCCAGTTTCCCCTGCAGCCATGTCCACTATCCAAGACTTTTCTGCTGGACTTGGAAGTCAGCTGCTATCATTGATCTTATTGAAGGCCCTTCTACCTGTTAGTATTACTTCAAACTGAAAGAGTCAGACTTGGGGAAATATATTGGTACATGTATGGTGGTGAATTTTTTTGCTCATAACTGGTGGTGGTGTTTTGTGCTGTTGAGTTGCTTCTGACTCATAGCAACCCTATAGGACAGAGTAGAACTGCCCCATACTCTCTCTTAGGCTGTATCTTCATGGGAGCAGATTACCAAGTCTTTTCTTCTGCAAAGCAGCCAGGTCTTTTTCTTCCACAAAGCAGGTAAGTGGGTTTGACCAGCCAACTTTTGGGTAAGCAGCTGAGGGCTTAACCACTGTGGCATGAATGGGATGTTTGAACCCATAGACATCCACATGCAAACATAATTACTTGAATTTCATGATTCCTGGTTGAGTTCAGAGAACATGGTTGTCAGCAAACTTCTCTAACAACTTGGTTCCTCTTTTCCTTTTCTTTCCCCACCCTGTGAGTTCCCGTTGTGATTACATTTGTTAGAGGATGTTTGAAGGCAGTGGTTCTCACTGTGCTGGTTTTGAGGACTGGGCCTCTGTCCGTCACATTGAGGTTGTAGTTTTTACGAGATACTTCTCACGGATACTTGCCTATGTGGGGCCTCTGTTCTCCTGTAGCTGAGTGATAGGAAGTATCACAGTTCACCACCACATTTGGTTTTCATTTTTAAGATATTTTAAGGAAGGATGAAACAAATTTTCTGAAGAAAGCAGAAAGTCCTTTCTCAACATGGCTTCAGAGATCACGTATGCTGAAGTGAGGTTCAACGGTGAATCCAAGTTCTCAGGTGCCAAATCAGAGCCTCCTGCAGGTAAGAAACATTTTCTGGCAATTAGAGTTGGTGATGAGATAAAGGATGAAGGGAAGGTATTATAAGAAGATGTACATAAGTGATGTTAGTCGCTAGTTCTGTTAGCAATTTAGAGTGGCTGTGACTGGAAATATTGTGGATTCCTATAAGATTGAGTTGCTTGTAGATAGGCTTTAAGGGGTTTACAGTTAAATGGTAGGGAAGAAAAGATATGCTGATCCTATCTTTAGGCTTAACTCTGTTGATTTGAGAACACTAAGGTATGAGAAATCAAGTACCAACCCAAGCTAACAAAAGTGGTAATGGTTCTGAGAAGTTGTGCCCCGTGTCTTCCGAGGTTCAGTGGGACTGGAGTCAAATGATCAAGTCTAGCTTATGAAACCTTGTCCAGCTCAGACACAGGGGTTATTGATATATTAGTGTCTTTGGGTAGAGAGTGTTGAGGGTATATTTTTAGTACTGGATTGGAATGGAACAAAAGAACATTAAAGACTAGAAAGTCTAGCAAAGAAAAGTGCTTTAAATCTTCAGGGAAATTTTTTCTGAAATGAGAAAATCTATTGTATATTGTATCCCCAAGACAGACTCAATTAGGCTTGGGAGTTGGTAAATGTAATTTGGGTGGTATGTTTGGTAGATTAGATATAGAGCAAAAGAGATTAAAAAAAAATGCTTGCAGATTGCAGGGAGCTATGGGCAGGGTCAGGATAGTTCAGGCTTTTGGGAAATGTCTCTCTGGGGGTATGGATATGCATGAAGGAATACTCTTTTTCCTCCCCTTTAAAAACTTTGTATCATTTCTTGACTATACAAATAATACTGTTTAGTAAAGAAAAAATGATCAACTAAAAGAACATAAAATTTAATTATACTTAATCTTACCATCTAGAAATAATCATCATTTACATGTTAGTCTATATCTTTCCAGATATAAATATACTTAAATGTGTATATGTATTTTTTTCTAAATATGAGATTATATTATATTATATTATACAGAGGTGTTCCCTCTCCCTTCAGTTTGACAATATAACTTTCAGAATGTGATTCTTAACTACAAAGTGAAGACTAAAATGAACTGACCTTATCCTATGGAAATTATCAGGAGTGATTATAAGAGCTTATTTGCTATAGTATTAGAGTTCCTGAGTGGTACAAATGATTAAAAAACAAAACCAAACTCACTGTCATCGAGTTGATTTTGACTCATAGTGACCCCCTTTGTGTTTCTGAGGTGTTAAATCTTTATGGAAGTATATTGTTCAGTCTTCCTTCCATGGAGTTTGAACTGTCAGCCTTCTGGTTAGGAGTCAAATGCCTTAGGCACTATACCACCATAGCTCTTTACAAATGATTAAGTGCTTAATTATTAGCCAAAAGGTTGGCAGTTTGAATGCACCCAAAAGCACTTGGGAAGGCAGGCCTGATGATCTTCTTATGAAAGGTCTCAGCCTTGAAAACTTTATGGAATAGTTCTACTCTGAACACATGCAGTAACCATGAGTCAGAATTAACTCCACAGCACCTAACAACAATAGCGTTATTTAATGTAGTTAAAGATGGAAGCAATTTAGAGGATTAGTTAAATATATTTTAAAATATCATGTGATCATAATAGTGTTAAAGAAGAAAATATGGGGTATGAAAATTGTTCATAATTCAGAGTAAAAGAAAATAGTAGACAAGAAATCAGTACTTATGGTGGGTCAGTCATTTGGGAAAATGTATACATATGTATGTATGCTTTAAAAATTGCTGGATCAAGGCAATGGAAGAGATAGGGAAGAGCACAACAAGAGTTAAAGGCAACAAAGGTGAATACTATTATATATATAATCCTGCAATTATAGTAATAACAGTAATTTAGTACTGGATGCATAGATCAACACTCAAATAGGGGTTGGAAGGCAAATGGG